TCTCTTTCGTCATATAGTTTTTATATTTTAAATTGAATAATATTTTAATAAAAAGTTGTATAAAACAAAGAAAATAGAATATAATATATTTACTAAAACCACAAAATAAAATGCAATTTTAAATAAAGTTGATTTGTAAAAAAGTTATAAAATTTGTGGCATTAATGATCCCAAAAAAAAGGTATTAAACATGTAAACTCTCTTACGACAATTTGAATATGAAATGAACTGTGATAATTTAAGAATTTTAACAGTTATGTGATGAGGTATTTGTTGTTTTAAATAAATTTTATCATATGTATTACAAATGCTAAGTTTTATTTAACGCTTTCTATAAATAAATAAACAGGACAAAAAACAAACCAAGCTAATTCAACCTACTTTAAATTAAATTTTTAAGTAAATAGTTTATAAAACACGTAACTTCTATGTTTTAAATCAAACTTTATTTACAAGTATGAATGTCAAGCTTACAAAATTGAAGTAAATGGATTTTTTTTAAAGTTATATATATATATATATATATGAATTACTTGTTCAAATAAATTCTTCTAAGCATTTTTTTAATCAAATTTAAGTCTATGAGCAAAATAATTGAATGTAAAAAAAATAAAAACTTTATAAGATAAGATTCGATAATTTTTTTTTTCTCAAAATCATTTTAATCTAATATAACCTATAAATTATAAAAGTAATAATTTGAGTTTATTGATCTCAAAGTCAGTATGTGTCATTATGTTTATGCAAAATATATATATATATATATATATATATACACACACGCATGTAGTAATTGTGATTTGTTGTTCAACTATTCTTTTAACATCTATAAAGTAGGCAACAACTTCTTAGATTAGTCAATTAGACTAAAGGAAATTATGACATGTTATTGGTAAGGGTTTAATCAATAGATTAGCAAATTGATGATTGGATGGAATATGAGAGTCATGCAGTTATTTACAAGTTCTCGAACAAAATGATAGTCAATGGCAAGATGTTTCATGTGGAATTGAAAAACTAGATTAGTACAAAGGTAGGTTGCATCAATATTGTCAAAATGAATAGTATGGGTAGGGATAAAAACACTTACTTTATGAAGGAGTTGTTGTAACCATAGAACTTCAGTGGTTGTGAAAGTAATGGTGTGATATTTAGCCTCTGTTGAAGAGCGAGGTACCGTAGACTACTTTTTACATGATTGAAAATTTGCATTTTGGCTAAGGTAAACTATATAGGCTCTAGTGGACTTCTTATTACAAATTTTGTTAGCAAGGGTTTAGCCAATAAATCAGCAAGTTGATGACTAGATGGAATATGAGATATGTAGTTTTTTTTTTTTGTGCTAGTAGTTCCTAAACAAAAATGATAGTCAATTGCCAGATGCTTCATATTGGAGTGAAAAATTAAATTGACACAAAAGTAGATTGCACCAATGTTGTCAGAATGAATGGTAAGGATGGGGACAGAGATGCCCAATTTATGAAGACGTTGTTGTAACCATAAAAGTTTAGTGGTTATGGAAGTAATGGTGTGATATTCAGCCTCGGTTGAAAAGTGAGCTACAATAGACTGCCTTTTGCATGACCATGAAATTATATTTTGGCGAAGGTAAACTATATAGGCTCTGGACTTCTTATCACCACCCCAATTGGCATCGCAAAACACTATGAGATCTAACTTGGGAGATTTGGTCAAATGTAACCTATGATCAATTGTGGACTTTAAGTAGCATAAAACACACTTGAGAACTTGCATGTGGAGTGACTTAGGGGACTACATGTGTTGGGATAGTTTGTTGTTAGGGAAAGCAACATCTAATCTTGTGGGGGAGAGATAATGGAGAGAACCTACTAGGTTGTGATACAATGAGGCATCACAGGTGGTGGAATCAGGCTTTTCCATGAAGGAGAATGAGGTGGACATGAGGGTGGAGACTTATTTGGCATCTGCCATATTTGCCTAGTGGAGAAGGTTACCGATAAAATGATGATAGGTGAGGAACATACCAAAGTGTGTGGGTAAGAGTTCCATACCAAGGAAGTGACTAAGAGCTCCAATGTCTTTGAGAAAGAATGTCTTAGCTAGAGAGCATTTGAATTAGTTGAAGAATGAGACATTTTCTTGGTTGACAGCAAGTCATCAACATATATGAGAAAGTAAGTCACTGTGGCACCATCTTTGAAAATAAAATGAGTGTTATCTAAATAATCTATTATTTACATGTTATAAAATCAAGGGGGTAAATTTATATGAATATATATATTTAGGGACAAAATCTTTTCACACTAGTGTAACTCTAAAAACTCTTACACTTGACTTGAGTCTTTTATTTAACTTACATCTAATAGGTTATAATTTATTACTTCACTGACTGTTAGATATATTTTAAATAAAAGGCTTACATTGAGCGTAAGTTTTTAGACTTACACTAGTATGAGAAAATATTTATTCATATATATGTATGTATATATATATATATATATATATATAAAACTAAACTATCATTTTGCATTATGCATTTTAGTATCTGAAAAATTAAAAATATCACGTTAGTTTCTGACTTTCATTTCTATCGGACATTTAAGTCTCTAGACTTAGACGTCGTTAATAAATAGTAATTGAATGCTAACATGTCACGTTAAGTGACATGTCATTGCTTTAGTGTCAAAACAATGTTGACATGTCACTTAACATGACACGTGTCATTAATTACATGGCAAAAAATGATTTCGTATGTAATATAGTGTATTTTTTTTGTTTCATTTTAGTCTTTGAGATTATAACTCATCAGACATTTTAGTCCTTAAAATTGTCACCGATGAGCATTTTAGTCCCTAAGATTGTCACCAATAAGCATTTAGTCCCTAAGATTATAACTCGTTACTTTATAGGTTTATTTTGCTTTCATATTCATATCTTTCTTTTGCATCCTTTTTAGGTTGTTCTTGTGTGAATGTGATTACACATTCTACTTCTTTATAGTTTTCCTTTGTATATATGCATGCTTTCAAATTCAGTATTTAGGCTTCATTTGAGAACAAAATCTTGAATTGTAAGTGATAAAATTGTTATTGGTACGAGCGCAATCTATTACATGAGTGTGACTTGAATATGATGTGTTGGGTTTTGAACAATAATGACTGGTTTTGATAATGCTGCAGTTTACAATAGGTTAGGACAATGACAAAAGTTTCAATATGAATTTTCTATCATTTGACAAGTGCAAGAACTCAAATTCATCTTTCCTTCCCTTCCCCTTCTTACAAAACCACCAACCATCTTGCAAATGCAGTTTCACATGAACATTTTCTATCATCTTCTCCTCTAGATTTTTTTTCAACAGAACCTCCACCATCCTTCTTCTCTTTCTCTCTCTTAGGGACTAAAATGTTCGTCAGTGACAATATTAGGGACTAAAATGCCTATCAATCACAATTTCAGGGACTAAAATACCTGACAAGTTATAATTTTAAAGACTAAAATAAAACAAAAATATATATTATACCATATATGACATTTTTTCCACGTAATCAATGACACAACACGTTAGCATCGTTTTACCACGTAACCAATGACATGTCAGTATTATGTTACTTTCTATTAATAGCGTCTAGATTTAGGGACTTAAATATACGACGGAGATGAAAGTCAGAGACTAACGTGACATTCTAAATTTTTTAGGAACTAAAATGCAAGACGCAAACTCTCTAAGACCAAAATGAGAGTTTAGTCATATATATATATATATATATATATATATATATATATATATATATATTAAAGTCAAATCCCAAATAAATATTACTTTCATAAAATTCTCTTATAATTTTATTTCTTAATTAATTTACTTTCATTTATAATAACGATTTGTAGATCACTTTTATAAAATTAGAAATATGAATTTTTTATTTACTTCTATAGTGAAATAAAATAAAAGCTTTTATTTTAAAAATAAAATTCAAATGAATGTTTTCAATTATAAATTCTTTAATGTTTTATTCATAAAAATAAAATAAAATAATTAAATTTTTTAAATTCACATGATTTATAATAATAATATATAGATTATTCTATCATTCATATGTTATAAAATCAAAATGATAACAATTTAATTGCATTATCTAGTACCTTATTCATGAGAATTATATTAAATTTTATATATATATTTTTTTTAAATTCACATAATAATTAAAAATAATGATATATAAATTATTATATCATTCACAAATTACACAATTATAAAATAAATTTTTTATCTTATTTTTATATAAAACTAAAAATAAAAAAATATATCTATCTTTTAGTCATTCTAACGTTTTTAAGGAGTTTATTTTCTTTTTTATAAAGCTCTTAATAAGACTTCTATTTTCAATTTCATACCCTTTAGAAAAGATTTTTTTTTTTCTTTCAGAACTATGTAACTCTAATTTCCTAATTGCATTGAAGAATCCTATCAAAACCCATTATTTTAAAACCTATTTTTTTTAGTCTTGATGTTACAAAGGGTTTAATTCTCAATTACAGTAATTATTAGTTTTATTTTCTTAGGCTTTTTTTGTGAGTTAGTATCAGATGAAAAAAGGAGGGAAGAGGAAGATTTGTTTGAGAGTTTTTAAATGTGAAGAAGAGATTTAATAAAACCTCTTATAAACTCATGTTTTTAAATTCTCTTAAGTTCTGGAGTTTTCCATTAAACCCTACTCCCATATTCCTCAAATCCTTCTCTTTTCTCTCTCTCTAGAAACAAAATCTTAAGAGTTGTTTAAGAAGGGAAGTTTTGGAAGAAAGGGGAGGGGCAAGTATAAATTTATATTTCAAATAAATATATTTAAAATTAATATTTTTTAAAAATAAAAGATATATTTAATATATTAACAAAATTTTAATGTATTAATAATATATTTAGTATCATAAATAATTTATAATTCTTTTAATTTGAAATTTAAAAATATGTCCCACAGTTCTTCTGGTCTCTTCTTTGAAACAAGTGATAACAAGCCAACTTCCATTTCCATCTCATCTACTTAACTGCTGAATGTAGCTCTTTCATGTTGCTACAATAAGTCCTGACACTTGAACAATATTTGATCACCCAAAGCAAGCACACAAGTAAGCACATAACTTACATATTAAACTTGGTATTTACAACATAATGATAAGATTTTGGAAGTATGTTGTCTAATCTCAGCAGCATTATAAAAGGCTATACCTGTACATTTGCTACAGCCAATACCAGGTGTTGGTTAGAACTAACAGCTTTTTAAGTATCTCAGCTGATATAAGGGGGGCTTCAACACCAAGCACTTTATTGGGATCCCTTACTTTGGTACTGCTCTTACTCATGTAAAGCTGATATAAGGGGCTTCAACGCAGATCAGGAATAGCAGTATGCCTTATGTGCTTGCAACTCGGATCCGATAATATGTCATTTTATGGTATTATTACCATCCAATTTTACGATACAGCAGTAGCATAACAACACTTCATTTAGAACCATAACTATTTCCATAATGTCAATATCGATTGACCAAGAAGTGAGCATTAGTTTATAGTTGAATCAGGTAAATTATCAGATTATAACTCACTTCCTCACCTTTGGTTATCGATGAGACAATCAAATCTGTTCCACGACGACCAGTATTTGCTATATACAAGCCATGATAGAAAGTTAAGTGGCAACAAGGCTCCACCCTGGTGCTTTTTTGAGTCTCACTTCTTTCATCATTTTTCTCAGTTTCAAAACTTCCTGCCACTGTCCCGCCTCTGCATACATATTCGACAAAGCAACATGAACTCCATGATTATGAGGTTCCAGAGCAAGAATTTGTTCTACCACTCTTTCAGCAACCTCAGTATTTCCACTATTCTTGCAAGCCGCCAACAAAGCTCCTAAAATAACCACGTCAGCCTTCCATGGCATTCCCTTTACGAGTTCCACTGCCTCTAGCAACTTACCTCCTCTCCCAAGAAGATCAACCAAGCACCCATAATGCTCAATCTTTGGTTCAATTCCATACACCATCTCGATCGAACTAAAAATCTTGCGACCAACATCAATCAAGCCACCATGACGACAAGCAGACAAAACCCCTATGAAGGTAACATCATTGGGAACAACAACCTGGTCCTTCTTCATCTTCTCAAAGAGACAAAGAGCATCTTCAACATGTCCATGAGCAGCCAACCCACAGATCATAGCATTCCAAGTAACAACATTCCTCTCCGGCATTTCATCGAACAAATTTCGAGCTGTCACAATTGCCCCATTCTTTGCATACATATAAATCAACGCCGTCCCAAGAATCACTCCCACTCCACCCTCTTTTACTCTCACAAACTCATGAATTTTTTCTCCTAACTCAAGACAACCAGAACGGGCACACGCCGACAACACCGAAGCCAAGGTTACATCATTAGGTTCCAAACCCTCACCAACCATCTCATCAAAAAGCGCCAAAGCCTCATTTGAACAGAAATTCTGAGCATACCCACAAATCATCGTGGTCCAAAGACTCAAACTTCGGTCCGAAATTTCATCAAACGCAAAGCGTGCATCGTTAACATTACCCGAAACAGAGTAACCTCGAACCAAACCATTAACCACGTGCAAATCGCGGCTCAAGCCGAATTTCAGCACGTGCGCGTGAACCTGTTTGCAAGCTGGCAGGGAACGCAAGCGGGAACACGCTTTGAGGAGAAAGGGGAAGGTGTGTTTGCCGGGGAAAACGCCGTTACGGCGCATATTGAGGTAAAGGGAGAGCGCGTGGGGAGCGTGGGGCTGGGCGCGAATGAGGGTGTTCCACATGAAGGAGTTGGGTTGGTGGGCGGAGTGGAAGATTCTAGAAGCGTGGGAGAGGTCTCCGAAGGGGGAAAGGGCGCAAGAGGAGATTAAGCGACTAACGGCGAAGTGGTCGTTGATAACGGCGGAAACGATCATCTGAGCGTGCACCTGTTTCAGCTGCTTCATGCTGATGCATTTGTCCGCGACGAGTGCGAGAGTTGAGAAGGTTCTTAGCAGCGATGATTTTGACTGCTGAGTGAGTTTCAATAGTAGACGAGTAGAGTTGCAATTTTGGCGGCAACATTTGAAGCCGTTCCTTCTGCTGCTTGACCACATTATACTACCCAATTCTATGTTCAACGCTAAGCCAGGTAGGAGAAAGGCAATTAGGCACACTTGCTTTGTCCGTATTCTAATTTTTTTTTATTTAATGTATATGTAAATATCGTTTTAACTTTTAACTCCCTATGTCAATAATATAAAACTTAATCAGTAGTTATGTGAAATAGAAAATTAGTTGGCTGCATAAAACTCTATGAGAATATTAGAATGAAGAATAATGTGTTTATAAATATTTGTGAAAAATGAGGTGAGCCTTGAGGAAGCAGTTGCTATGTTTCTTATAAACTTAGGTCATTGGGTAGTTGTTGAACGATTCAACGTTCCTTACAAACTCTAAGCAAGTAGTTTATAATTATTTTAATAGCAATTTGTGAATTGGGTACAAGAATTATTAAACAAATATCATGGGCAATCAGAATTATTTTCCTTATTTTAAGGTAAATTTTTAAATGTGTTTAGAATATTTCATTAATATGTCAATATTTTTTTAACTATTATTGATATTGTAAATGTAGTCATTTATCTATCTGGGCTCTTGCATCCAACCAAAATGCTTTTCATGGAAGAAAAGTATTGGTAATTCAAAATGTTTTAGCTGTATGTGACGTTCATATGCTATTCACATTTATTTATTTTTTATTAGAAGGGACAACAAATGATGCAAGGATGTTTTTAGATGCTTTAACTCCTCAATAATTTTTCAAAGTCCTATGGAGATATACTTATTTTTTGTATATTTAAAATAACATCTTTTTTAAGTAAAAATACATTTGATAATCATCTAATGAGTACATTATTTAACTGTGTAAATTAATTTTATCATGTGAATTCTAGATTTTCCAATTTACATGACTATATTGCACCATTTTAAAAGCAAAGATATCATCTGCATGATTTTTGTGATGGAAATAGACCATTAGAAAAATAAAAATTATTCAACTATAGATACTCAAATTTTTAACCAAAATAATATAAAAAAAATAAAAATACTAAAATAGACCTGTCCCAAAAATATTTACGAAAGTAGACCCATTTACTGTTACGTACAGAATTTGACTTCCTGAAAACCGAATTCTGGCCTTCAAATTTGTGTCCGTACAGTTGATTTCCAAATGGAATTCGGTTTTGGGGCAACCGAATTCTATACATAAATTGCATATATGTTCTTGTATATAATAAAAAAATATTATCTAATATTTATGTTTATATATTTATATTATGTTAATGTGTGTGGCAAATGCGTCCCCTGATTTTGTAAATTGCTTCAAATGTGCTGGGAGAAAAACGACTTCTGAGAGAGGTTGAAAAAAAACCGCTCTTCAAAGTCGACTTCTGAGAGCGGTTGAAAACAAACAGCTCTCCAAATTCGACATATGAGAGCGGTTACAAATGAACCGCTCTCCAAAGTAGACATATGAGAGCGGTTGAAAACAAACCGCTCTCCAAAGTCTTACAGGCTTTGACCTCGAGAATTTGGAGAGCGGTTCAAAACCAACCGCTCTCAGTAGTCGAATTTGAAGAGCGGTTCGTTTTGAACTGCTCTCAGATGTGAACACGCAACATAGAAAATTGAGGGAATGTATTTGTCACACAAATTAACAAAATATAAATATTTATTTTCACACAATATAAAAATAAAAATATAATTGAAATAATAAATTTTATTTTATTATTTAAAACTATTTTTATTATTAAATTTGACAATATATAATTATTATATAAACATAAATATTAGATAATATTTTTTTATTATATATAAAAACAAAAATGCAAATTATGTATGGAATTTGGTGGGATTTTTACAAAAATAATATTAAAAAAATAAAAATTATAATAATAATTGAATAATTTTAAATTTATATTTGATAAAAATTACAATAATAATTTATTTAATTTTATATTTTTATAAAATAAATAAAAGTATTAAATAATAATAAGATTATTTATTTAATTTGAGATATTAATCTTTATTAAAATTTATACATAATTATTTATTTAAAAAATATTTTATTAATATTAATAAACATTATTAAATAATATTATGTAGATATATATATATTAAATAATAATATATTTAATATAAATTACTAATACTAAAATTTATAAGTGACAATGACATTCATAAAATTAAAAATTACATGAAGAAAATTTTAAAGTAATAACAACAACATAAATCAATGACGGGAAGTAGAAGCTTGAGTAATGTTTAGACATGTCTTCCTTGTGTGACCAGGAGTGTGACAATAAGAACAATTTTTTTGCCGACTTTGTTGTTCTCTAATGTCCATCTCTGTCCTTATCCTACTAGACTTGGGTCGACCCTTTGAAGTTCTTTTCAGTTCTGGATTTGGACACAAAGTTGAGCCAGTGTAAGTTGGCCAATAGTCTTCATGTCTGAGTTCTCCAAACTGACCTTCGTATACCTTAGAAACTTGTTGTAAGGTATACACGGAAGATATGTATATGTCAAAGTTGTGGTGTGCGTATAAGCATGAAGCAAGTACATGCGAGCATGGGATGTGAACTTTTTGAAACTTGCCACAATCACACCACATTTCATCTAACCGTACTGTAAATCTTCCTACGGGTCGAATTTCTGTCGAATGTTGCATTTCTTCGACTAAAAATCTAGTGCTTGTTCTGTCAAAGGTGATGACTCTATGAGTGTTTGCGTTTGACTGTGCATCTTGAATTGCTTTAGTTGCAACCTCCGAGTACATATGTCTAGCATTAATCATTGCATTTACTTCTCTGCCTCTGTCAATGAAGAACTTATTGCAACGGGTGTATGTTGCCAGGACCATGGAGCAAATTGGCAAGTTTCTGGTTTTCTTCAAGACCGAATTGATTGACTCCGCTAGGTTTGTTGTCATGTGTCCCCAACGTCGTCCATTGTCCCATGCCAGTGTCCATTTTTCCCTTGGGATGTTGTCCAACCATTGTGCAGCTTCAGGATTATTATCTTTTACTATGTTGTAATAGTAAAAGAATCTCGGTTCAGTCATCCCATATGCTGGAAACAAGATTACAAAAAAAATTAATATAACTAGCTAAGCAATTGTATAAAATATTAATAAGAATATAAAGTACGTAAAAAATTAAAATTACCCATATTGACGACATCTTTCTTCAGTGCAGCGTTTTTAAATCGTCGCATGAAGTTTTGTGCAATATGTCTAATGCAATAGACATGGACAGAATTGTTTTCTGTCCAACCACTTCCATTTTTGGAGTATGCACTTCTTATGGCCTCGTGACGATCCGAAATGAGGCACAACCCCTCTTACGGAGTTACGTACCTCCTTAAGTTTTTCAAAAAAAAGAACCATGCATCGCTAGTTTCACCTTCTACCACAGCAAAGGCAATGGGGATTATGTTGTTGCGGCCGTCTTGTGCAACTGCCACTAATAAAGTCCCTTTGTATTTGCCATACAAAAATGTTCCATCCACTTGAACAATTGGTTTGCAGAAGGCAAAACCATCAATGCATGGCTTGAAGGTCCAAAATAACCTCTTGAAGAACACATTCCCCTCGTCAAGCAAGCCACCCTTGTATGCTGGTTGTGTACTCAATTTCCAGATGAAGCCTGGAATATACAGTTGCATTGCAAGCAACTGTCTAGGTAACTTATGGTATGACTCCTCCCAATTTCTGAAGATATTTTCAATGGCATGTTGTTTCACTAACCATCCCTTCCTATAACTGATTGTGTAACCCATTGTGGACTTTATGTGGGCTAAGATTGTTGTGATGGGTGTGGATGGATCACTCTGTATTATTTCACGAATCCCATGAGAAATCATTCGTGATCCCAAGTTGTTATGATCCTGTGAAATGAGTGGGGAAGCACATGTGTGGCACCCGTCAAGCTTCATTATTTCCCAGTGTTGCTCTTTGGTGCGCAATATTGCGCGACATCTCCAAGAACAGTCGTTGTGAACGCATTCCACGACAAGCCTAGTTGTGCTTGACATCTTCACCTTATAAGTGCAATGATTGACAATGTGAAATCTATTTATGGCATCTTGCACTTGTTCTTTTGTTAGGAAGCGCTGCCCAACAAATAGTGTTCCAGGTGGATACACTACCATTTCACGTTCAAGTACATGGCCAAACTCAGAGTCATGTTCTTGTATTTGACTGGAAAAATCTAAAAAATGTGGAGGTACGTTGTATAATGGTAATGGTTGTGATGGTGGAATATTTGGAAGTGGGAGGGAGTCTTCTTCATCATCCTGCTGTTGAGATAGGATTTCATCTTCGTCCTCGCTGAAAGGATCAAATACTTCATTGGGAGACCCACAACAGCATGTTCTTCAATGGGAGTTTCTTCAAGAGGCTGAGAGGGTTGGGTTTGCTCAAATGGTTGTGAGGGTATTTCATTAAGGTCCATGAATTGACCAGTTAAAAGTTGTGTGTAGGACTGAAGGTCGGAATTCATATCATATGTTGGAAAAGATGGATTTATGGTTTCGTAAGTTTGGTAAGGTGAAGATGAAGGCGAAAGTTGTGGTGGCTGTGTTTCGTTTGCAGCAAATGTAACATATAATTCTATACCTGATTGAAGTTGATTTGAATCGTGGATGTTGAACAGTGCTTCAACGTCTTCATCATCATTTAACTCAACACATGTGTAGTTACTAACTCCTGGGCCAAGTCTAATTGGGTAGCGAAAATGTATGGTTGTCACCCTTTCATTTTCGTTTCGGTTGAGTTTTGTGTGGATGATTTTCTTGAGCCTTTGTAGAGTCACTCCTCTCTTTAGATGTACCAATTTAGCTGATGATGAGGTGAACGTGACTCCTTCATAAGGACATTGGTTAATGGCACCATCAGAGTGAACAATGACATAGATTGAAGACATTTTTAGAAGGAGAAGGTTCACAAGAACAAGGAACAAGCTGAGAAGGTTAAATGAATAAAATGAACATGAATATGTCTATTTATAATGGTAACATTGGATTCTCAGTCATTCAATGCTTCACCACGTTTTACGAGTGAG